TCATAATACACGAGGGTACCGATCACACACACGGCAACACATGCCCCCCAAGAAATACGTGAACCTTACACAAAGGTCACAAACTCCATAATCGCGTCATGGCCACCACGAGGACCATTGTCGGACCTTGGTGACTAGTGTCTCATACCACTAATCGTGCAATCCAGGTACAGCCACACACACCACACCACAACAAGAATCAATCAACGGATCACAACGAAGATATGAAAACATACTCAATCAAGGAATGGATCACAGTCCAACAACAACGATGATTAACACAAGTCATCATCAACAACAGGAAAGTACAAACAACACACATGCTAGCATTTAAATGCTTATCAAACGGGTAAACCAAACATAGTTCCGAAGAACACACAAGACTCATCACGGTTCAACGAATCACAAGGTTGAACACTTAGCACGATTCAAGACACCAAAACCTACATGGATTCCTACCATATAGTTCTAGACATACGAAACATCAAGAAGACGCTCAAATAGTTCCACAAAAGAACATCGGGAAGCTAAAAGACCAAATACCGAGTCAAAAGAATCACGGGGAACAAATCCCCGCCAAGCCAACATATGTACCCCGCGGGTGGGCCCACAGGTGGACCCCCACCCGAGGTTCCGCCCGCGGGTACACACCCACCAAACAACGTTCCTCGCGGGTGGGGCAGCGGGTAGGCCACTGCCCGCCGTCCCACCCGCGGGTACACCAACCTGTACCAAAATAATCCCTTCGGGGATTTTCAACACCAAGCTCAAATTCAAGTCCAAAACATGCCAAACCTCACCAAATACAACAAAACGACTTGAATCAAAGGAATAGCTAAGCAATGGCATACATGAACCCTAATAACAAGCTCTAGATATGCATTTTCACAAGACAATGCATAAACACTCACATTTCATAGCAAAATCACATGTATAATCCAAGAATCATCAAATAGGTAAGCAAAATAGATTTTGTAGAGCATGGGGTACCTCTTGAAGACTCAACTTTCACTTTAAACACTTCACAAAGCTCTCAACAAGGTTCCCTTTCCACACCCACTTCAAGAACACACCAAAACAACATAAAGATTTCACCTTTATAAAAAGATACCTTAGAAAACACTAAAAACACAAGAGGAGCTTAGATCTTACCCTCCTAGATGCTCAAAAGTATGAAAGGTAGAATCTTGAAGGCAAACTTGAAAGATCTTGGTAGCCCTAGGTGTGGCTTGGAGAGAAAGCTAACTAGCTTTTAGAGAGAAGAGAGAGAGCTTATGATTTTTCTCTTGGAGAGTGTTTGAAGAAATGAAATGTGTCTTCCTAGGTTAGCTTGAAAGACTATTGCCAAGGAAATGTCTTATATACCCTTACTAAGATGAAATGTGTAAGGGAACAACTCTCAAAGCTTTAGGTACAACTTTGACTTTGGGTTGACTACTCAATTACTAGTCCCTGACTATTGAATTTTCAGGAATTTAAGTAATTAAATTACCAATTGAATTAGGATTAATTACTTAATTAATCCCTTAATCGAATTTGGATTACGGGGTGTCACACAAAGTATCTGACATCTATTCAACCTAACAATGGCTCAGTGACTTTTGGAGATGGTCAAAGAGGCAAGATAATTGGGAAAAGGAACTTTAAATGTTCCTGGATTGCCTCATATGGATGATGTTCTCTTTGTAAATGGACTGCAAGCTAATCTCATAAGCATAAGTCAGCTTTGTGATCAGAACTGGAATGTCTGCTTCAATCGAGACTGTTGTAGTGTTCGTGATAAGTCATATCAACTTGTCATGGAAGTTACACGTTCTTCTGATAACTGTTACATTTTAACTAATGATACTGTCTCTTTTAGGTCAAAGTCAGAAGAGTCCAAGGTATGGCATCGACGACTGGGTCATATGAACTATCGTGATATGGATAAGCTGATCAAACTTGATGTTGTGCATGGTATACCAAAGCTGAAAATGGATTATGAAGGAGTTTGTGGTGCCTATGTTATGGGAAAGCAAACCAGAGCCCCTCACAAAGCTGTAAAGATGATTACCACTGAGAGATGTCTGCAACTGGTACACATAGACCTAATGGGTCCAACTCAAATAGAGAGTATTGGTGGTAAGAAATATATATTTGTTTGTGTTGATGATTTTTCACGTTTCTGTTGGGTATCTTTTCTAAGGGAAAAATCAGAGGCATTCAAAGCATTCAAAACACTCTGTGTGAGACTTCAAAAGGAGAAAGATGAACCTATAGTCAAAATCCTACGACTCAAAAGTGATCATGGCAAGGAATTTGAAAATTCATCTTACTCAGACTTCTGCTCAAAGAATGGAATAGCTCATGAGTTCTCTGCCCCACGGACTACTCAACAGAATGGCATTATGGAAAGAAAGAATCGAACACTACAAGAAATGGCAAGGGTTATGATCAATGCATCACGTCTACCATAAAGTTTTTGGGCTGAGGCAGTACACACTGCATGTCACATAATTAATTGGATATATCTAAGGCCTGGTACAACCATGACTCCATATGAAATATGGAAAGGTAAAAAGCCTACCTTGAAATATTTCCATTTTTTGTACTAAATGTTTTATCTTGATTGATCGAGAACAAAGAGGAAAGTTGGAGCCCAAGAGCGACGAGGGAGTATTCCTAGGATACTCACCAAACAGTCGAGCTTATAGGATATATAATAGGAGGACTTAAACAATCATGGAATCAGTGAATGTTGTCGTAGATGATGAGCCAGACGAGCCTGAAACCATATTAGTGTCTGATTCTACACCTGAGTTACAGTCTGATACATAGCCCAAGCCACCTGATGAATTTGAAGAAGCTGAGCAACCATCTGTGTCTGATGATCCACCAAACGAAGATGATGAGAATGCTGAAACATGTCAACCCCAATCTGATCGTGATGGGAGAGACAAGTCAACCAGAATTCAAAAGAATCATCCCTCAATCAATATTATTGGTGATCCAACTGCTGGAATTCGTACAAGAAGTAAAGTGAGGAATAATCTAATCGAGTTAGCTGGATATTCTTGCTATACCTCGAAAATTGAACCCAAAAATGTTAAAGAGGCACTACAATATGAGCATTGGGTTAAAGCTATGCAAGAGGAACTACACCAGTTTGACAGAAATCATGTTTGGGATCTTGTTCCTAGACCAGTTGATGTGAATATAATAGGAACAAAGTGGATCTTCAAGAACAAGACAAATGAAGCTGGGAATGTTGCAAGGAATAAAGCTAGACTAGTTGCTCAAGGATATACTCAGATAGAAGGAATTGATTATGATGAGGCCTTTGCTCCAGTGGCTAGACTTGAATCTATCAGAATCCTATTGGCAATTGCATGCATATTGGGGTTCACACTATTTCAGATGGACGTAAAGACAACCTTTTTAAATGCTTATTTGCATAAGGATATCTATGTGGCACAACCAAAAGGGTTTGAGGATCTAAATTATCCAGATCATGTATACAAGTTGAGGAAGGCTCTATATGGTCTAAAGCAGCTCCAAAAGCATGGTATGAACGTCTGACATAGTATCTTCTGCATCAAGGATATGATCGAGGAAGTGTAGATAAGACTTTATTTGTCAAATCTACTGGTAACATGTTACAATAGCTCAAATCTATGTGGATGATATTGTTTTCGGATCTACTCATCAGAAGTATACTGATGAACTAGTAGAGGTTATGAAAAAAGAATTTGAAATGTCTATGGTTGGTCAACTGACTTATTTTCTAGGTCTTCAAGTAAAACAATGAACTGATAGATACTTCATCTCATAAGAGAAGTATGCTAAGAACCTAGTTAAGAAGTTTGAGCTGGAATCCTGCAAATTTCCCAGAACTCCTATCTCAACCTCTATAAAGTTATCTAAGGATAATGCAGGTCAACCTGTAGACTCAACACTTTATCGGAGTCTAATTGGAAGTCTTCTCTATCTGACAGCAAGTCGACCAGACATTATGTACAGTGTAGGAGTCTGTACAGATATCAGTCAACCCTAAAAGAGTCACACTTAATTGCTGCTAAAAGGATCTTGAAGTATGTCAAAGGAACTGAACAGTATGGGTTATGGTACTCTAAGGAAAGCAATGTGAATCTTGTTGCATAATGTGATGCTGATTGGGCTGGAAATGTGGATGATAGAAAGAGTACGGCAGGCGGTTGTTTCTTCATTGGGAAAAACCTAGCGTCATGGTTAAGTAAGAAGCAGAACTCAATTTCTTTAAGCACGGCAGAAGCAGAGTATATAGCAGTTGGTTGATGCTGTACTCAACTCATATGGATGAAGCAGATGTTGTTGGACTATGGTTTACCACAAGGATCAATGACACTTTATTGTGATAATATAAGTGCCATAAATATCTCTAAGAATCCTATTCAGCATTCAAGAACAAAGCATATCGACATAAGACACCATTTCATTAGGGATCTTGTTGAATCCAAAGAAACCAAATTGGAATATGTACAGATTGACAAACAACTGGCGGATATACTGACTAAACCGCTTGATGCAAATCGGTTTGAGTTTCTTAGGTCTGCTCTAGGAGTATGCCGGATAGATGAGTAAATCAGTCTACACAATTAGAAGAAGGGTATGAGGTCTGGGGTTTAAAAAAATTACCCTCTAAGTTATTCTTTGCTATGTTGAGTCCACCTCAGTCATTGTTACCCCTCTTTAGGTTTAATCTGGTCCGTAGATTTAAATTTCAAATTCAAGATCTCTGAATTTGGTCTGTTCCGTAAAAATTGCACAGTAACATCCCATCTGCATGTCTATCACATCAAATCTCATTAAATGCATCCTCTTTCTCTCTCTCTCTCTCTCTCTATACACTATCCAAGTTCTCATATACTCAAAACACTCAAAGGTTTAGCTCATTCGTTTCTCCTCATTCTCTCATATAAGCCTAAACCTCTCTCTCTTAGGGTTTCTAATCACAAATACTCTCCCAAAAATACTCAAAAACCATGGCTGATGCCTTAAGAAACATGATGATCAAGGTGTATATGAAGGATCATTCCCCTGAGAATGCCCTCAAACACGTTAAATCACTGATTTTGTTAGCCATGAAGAACAAGTTGAAGCTCGACCCAATTTTACGAGGCGAGATTATTGTTACGATCATCACAAACTATCAGGAATTTCTGGAAGGCATGTCTGATGATGATACATCTACATTGATGATGATGGTTGCGGACAAAGATAGTTATGTCACTCCGGCATCCATTGCTGATCCGGATGACGGGAACAGGGCCGGTGCGTTTCTGAAATACTTTGACAACATGGCACTTGAATGGGAGAACATTGTTCGTGAACGTGCTGCTGCCCAGGAGCGTTATATGAAACTGGCTCAAGAGGATGCTCACCATCGGATGGAGATTCTGCAAACCAGGTCAAAATCTATTCTATCCTCTGTTTCTAATATCTCTGCAGTTAAACCTGTTGTTGAGTCTGGATCCCTAGCCCCTATTTTAAATGTGTCTTTAGAATCTCCTATTGTGCCTGATGTGTCTAAGCCTAGTCTACCTGTTTCTGAATCTGTTGAACCTATTTTGCCAATTGACTCTAGTAAGTCTATGTCAGTGGACATTGATACTTCTAAACACACTATTATGCCTGATATTGATATGTCTGATGTAAATTTGTCTGATGTTACTATTGAAATCCCTAGCAAAAATCTACCTGTTCCACCTCTTACTCATAATGAACCTGTTACTGAAATACTTGTTTGTGTTCCTAAAACTGCTGGTGAGCATCTTGAAACTGTTCAATACTTTGCCAATGAACCTACTGAGTCTGTTCCTACACCCTCTCAAATCTTGAAACCTAAGTCTGATATTCCTCCAGTTGATAAGGATGATGATTTGCTGTTATCTGAACTCACCAAACACATGGGTGATTCTGTTCTGCGCATTGTGCGAGAAGAACATCTTTTTGTCACTGGCACTGCACATCCTGAGTCAACCAGTTTCAAAATTAGGGATGTCCAGAATATTCTTACTTCCACTCATCCTACTACCTCCGAAACTAGTCACTCAGTTTCTACAACCCCTGTTGATGTGTCACCCAAGAAAGAGTCCAGAAAACCCAAAAGGAAAGGTGTTCCTGAGAAGTTCCTAGTTGATCTCACCATTGAGCCTGCAATTGCCTCCTGAACTGAAAAGAAGAGAAAAACCTCAGTCTCTAAGTCAGCTGATCCTCCAGTTCAGCAAGTCTTCAAAAATTTGAGAAGTTCTGTGAAAGGGAAAGCCCCTAGTGTTCCTCTTACTGTGAAAAAAGGTAAGTCAGTGAAAGGGTCCTCTAAGCCAAAGGCAAGAAGTGCTACTCCAACTGGTCTTCCTTCTGCTCCAGAGAATATAGATACTGTGGAGTATCAGCCTAAATTTGTTGATGAAGTTGTAGAGAGCAAATGGGAGTCTATGATAAGAAGAGAGCTAATAGTACAAAGATCCATTGACATCAAACAGATGAATTCTGTGTGTGATGTGGTCCCTCTGCTAAAGGAAGCAGGGTTGATAAACACAGTGTACAAGATTGGTCCTTACTCTAAGTTGCTGACTTATGAATTCTACTGCAATCTCAGTGAGTCCATCGATGATCTAACTCATGAGAGGTGTCTCCAAGTGTGTGCCAGGAAGAGCTGGTATGTTTTCGGTCTAAATGTCATAAATGAGTACTACAAGCTGCCAGTTGTAGATGACGAAGAAATTGATGATTGGGATCAGGTTGCCAAGACTTTAACCAGTGGCATTCTGACTGAATGGCCATCCTCAGATTCAGATGCTCTGTCAAGTTCATAATTTACTTCAAAGTTTGTCATTCTGCACCATATTGCCATACACAATTGGTTGCCCTCTGCTCATCTCTACACTGTAAGTAAACCCCTAGCAGGTTTGATCTATCGCATTGGAACCAAGAAGCCAGTGGACCTTGGTAAGTGGATATTCGATCATGTGCTAACACTGGTACATCCTAGAGAGCAAAAAGTCAAGCTGCCATATCCTAATCTGATTTATGGCTGGTTAACATCTCAAGGGCTTGTCCCTTTGGCGAATGAGACTGTTCGTACCTCTCTGACCTACACAATGGATTCTCGACTTCTTTCTGGGAAGCATATCCGGGATGTTCAACCAGTCAATCCTCCGCAAAGTACCTCTGATGATCATGTTGACAACACTCCCTATGTCAACAATTTGCGGCTCTCCAAGATCTTGAAAATTCATGTTGACGCTCTACAGGCTGCCAGTGCCATCATAAATACTCAACTACATGCAGCTCGCACTAAGCTAGCCATTGTGCTACTTCGTTTAATCCTTGCTAATGCTGAACCTGCTCAAGATACTGCTCATTCTGCTGATGAAAAGGGCCCCTCTGTCAACTGATGCTACCTTTGCCTATTATCTGACAAAAAGGGGGAGTAGCTTTGGGAGTTGTTGGTTTTAGGGGGGTATTCTACTCTGTTGGTGTTAGTGTCCCTTCTGGCCCTGTCTGGGCGTTTGGTTGATTGTTTGAAGTTTAAAAACTCTTTTGGTTTTCAAGTTTAATTTCTTCCTGCACAGTTTGTGTGATGTCAGTGTAACACCCCGTGTTATGGCCTTCAATCCCGGATTAATTATTTAATTAATTCCGTTAATAATAATTAAAAAGGGTTTAATTTGACTAGGATTCCCTTAAATTAATTAATGTGGTCCACCATGGATCGTGGACCCTTGCCTAAACTAGAGTCTTAAGCCTATTAGAAATAAAGAGAGTAAACCTTTTACTAATCAGATTCTAATTAGGAGTCCTAGACCTAATTATCTATTAGGAATGAAGAAGGTAGGCCTTTACTATTTAGATTATGATTAGAATTCTTGATGCTATAAATAGGGGATTAGAAAGCATTAGAACCCTTACCACCATAGTTATATTACACAAAAGTATTCCCAAGGGGTTCCCCACCACCAAGCCTAGTGAGAGAAATCGGATGGAAATTTTAGGGAAGAACCTTAATAGCCAAGGGAGGATTAATTAAGGCTAAGAGGTAACCCATGTCTCAACAAAACCTATTTTCCTTGCTATAATCTTCTTCTTTGGCTCCTTCTATATGCTTGTGTCTTGATGAAATCTTCTATGATAATTATGATATGATCTTGATGATAGATGAGATGATTTTATGTGTGATCTTTATGATCTTGATGATGATAAGAGGATCTTGACGATTGTGTGATGTTCTTGATAAATCTTGATATTAAAGATGAACTATGATCTTGATGATTTGAATGGGATTAGAGCCCTAGGTTAAATTGGGAATTTTATATTGTGATGTACTTGGTATATATTTGGGTGGGATTTCGCATGTTCGGGTGTCAATTATGTTTAGAAGTCATGCTAGGATATGTTTAATATGATTCTTGATTTTGATCCATTATTTGACTACGTGGTATCGTCGTTTGTGTTTAAAAGTGTCAAAACATGGTTTCGGGTTCCACGAAAGATCCCGGGACCCAAGAATTGAAAAAGAGTCAGTGGGGAATAGGTGGGGGTAGGGGAATCCTCCACCTACCCGCTGCCCCATTCGGGCGTCGCCGGCAGCGGGCAGCCGGCAGGCAGGCGATTGCCCGCCGGGCACCCGCTGCCCGGTTTCTCGTCGCCGCCGGCCACCCGCTGGTTTTCCCACTTCGGGATGGTGGTTTCCCCGTTTGATGTTTCCCCGACCCTCGTGGTGCCCCAACGGACTCCGTTTAACGTGCCTAAGTCTAGTTTGATGTTTCGGGTACCGTTCGTAGGATAAAAGAGTCTTGTGTATCGCATGCTAGTTGAATTGGTATCCCGTTGGCCTAGGCGAAAGAAGTATGAACCCCTTAGGTTTATTCCTAGTATGTGGATGACCACGCATAGGTTTCATTATACGTTTTCTCCCCTTTCCCAATGTGTTAATATGGGTTGCATGTGCTTGCTATGTGTTATGTGTGCATGATACCCCAATTTGGTTGCGATCAAATTGGTTATACCTGAGCTGCAGTTCAGAAGCTGGCTATAACACCCCGTGTTACGACCCCAAAACCAAATTAATTAATTTATCATCCACCCTAAAAAGGGAATTAAAATCCATTAATTAGCCAAAAAGGGGTCCACCATAGTCCATGAGCCCTTATCCCTAAAGACAATCCCTTAGTCCTATAAGAAATAGAATTAGCAAACTCATGCCACTTAGACCCTAATTAGGACTCTTAATTATATAAATAGGGACATAGGAGGCACCTAGAACTCACACCACAATAACCTCTCACCACACAAGAAGCTCCAAGAATTCACTTAGGAGAAATCAAGAAAGAAGAAATCTTAAAGAAAGACCCTTTATAGCCAAGGAAATTAATTAAGGCAAAGAGGTAACCCATGTCTCAACAAAACCTATTTTCTTCGTTATAAACTCCTTCCTTGGCCTCCTTCTATATGCTTTTGTCTTGATTAATTCCTCTATGCTATTTGTGATATATTCTTGATGATTGATAAGATGATTTATGTGTATTCTTGATAATCTTGATGATCTTAATATTGAAAAGAGGTTCTTGATATTGATGTGATGATTCTTGACAAATCTTAATATTTCTTGATGTTAAAGATAAATTGTGATTTTGATGATTTGGGAGGGATTAGAGCCCTAAGGTGGATTGGGAATTTGTGTTATAATGTTCTTGATATATATTTGAGTGGGAATTCACATGTTCGGGTGTTGTTTATGTTTAGAAGTCATAATAGGATGAGTTATACGTGATTCTTGCTTTTGATCCGTTAATTGCCTACGTGGTGTCGTTAATTGCGTTTAAAAGTGTCTAAGCATGATTCCGGGTTCCACAAAGGATCCCGGGACGTAATTGTGCTGAAAGAGTCCGTGGGGGGTAGGTGGGGGTTGGGGTACCCGCCACCTACCCACAGCCCGAAAATCATCGCCGGGCAGCGGGCAGACGTTCGCCCGCCGGCAACCCGCTGCCCGGGCGATAATCTCCGTCGAGTGACCCCCACCCACCGGCTACCCGCTGGTCCATACCCACCCCGAGTCTTCGGCTTCCCCGTTTGATGTTACCCATTCCCCCGTGGTGTCCCAACGGACCCCGTTTGTCATGCCTGAGTCTAGTTTGATGTTTTGGGTACCGTTCGTAGGATAAAAGAGTCTTAGGGATTTCATGCTAGTCAAATCGGTAACCCGTTGACCTAGGTGGAAGTCGTATGAACCCCTTAGGACTATTCTTAGTATGTGAATGATCACACGTAAGCTTATTTATGTGTCTTCGCCTTCCCAATGTGCTATTATGTGCTACTATGTGCTATTGTGTGTTATGTGATGCATGGTTCCCCAATTTGGTTGCGATCAAATTGGCTATACGAGCAGTTGGATGGGTTGAGAACCATCCCAACTGTTAACCAGGCCGGTTGCGATCGGTCAGGTATATAAATATTATATAGGGCTGCGGTCCACTATTGGTTACTTATGAGCTGCGGTTCATCCTCCTGGCTGCGGTCAGTGATTCACTTCTTGGGCTGCGGTCCACATGGGCCTCGGGTATGATGACCCACCGAACTGGTCGCACCAGGCGGTGTGTAGGGCCAATAAACCCGTGGAAGGCTGTAGTGCACCGACCTAAGTAATCAGGCAGTGTGTAGGGCTACGGCTGGCTGCGATCCACCGAGTGATGGGCTAGCGGTGTGTAGGGTCGTAGTCTCCGAGGATCTTCGCCCACCGACTGAGTCCCTCAGCAGTGTGTAGGGGTGGATCCGCTACGGTCCACCGACTGTGCCCGTCAACGGTGTGTAGGGTCGTATGTCCCCCCTTGTAAAGGGGATCACAGTCCACCGACTGGGCGCGTCAGCGGTGTGTATGATTGTGGTCCGACGTTGAGTTCGTCAGCGATCTTTAAAGGGTTGGTTGCGATCAACTCCCTTCATGCTGCAGTATGAGGTAGGGTGCTGCGGGGCCGTGTTAGTGCTATATGCGCTAACCCTCATGTTCGGGGCTTGCGATTTGTCCCGTGGCGCCAGCTCAGTGTGATTGAGTGTCACAAATGATAATTGAATGATGATATGATTGATGTGGAAATAGACTGTGACCTTAGTTGCGTATTCTTTATGATGATTCTCCTTAACTGTTATTATTGACTATTGTGCTTACCCCTATTTGCTGAGTCCATTCCTGGTTTTAAAACTAGAGTCTCTTAAGCATATATCTTCCTGCTTCAAAATGATTTTCATATATCTATATATATCTATCTATAATGTATTTCAACGCGTTGGAGTGGGTTACTGGCATTAGTCGCTGAACAGATATATTTGGCTTTCAAGCACAGAGGATTAGCTCCCAGAGCGCGCTAGAAGAGCTTGGAGTAAATAGATAGTTTTCCTTTCGGCCTGCGTGCCATGATGATGTATTGAGGATATTTAGTTAGTTTAGCCTGTGCATCTGAGTTCTCCAGCTCAGATGTGGCATAGCACCCCGCACTCGTATATTTAGTACTACTCTGTTTTGAGATTTAATGAGAATTGACTTTTGTTATATAAGTTTTAAAAGTTTCAAAATTTCGGGGTGTTACACTGGCTGCGGTCAGAAATACACTTTTGGGTTGCGGTCCACCGTTTGGTTGCGATCAAACGTTTTACATGAGCTGCGGTTCATTATCCTGGCTGCGGTCAGTGACTCACTTCTAGGGCTGCGGTCCACCTCATGGGCCTCATGTGTTATGGTCCACCGATTGGACGCGTCAGGCGGTGTGTAGGGCTACAAGCCACGAGGAAGGCCATAGTCCACCGATTGAGTTCATCAGACGGTGTGCAGGGCTATAGTCGGCTGCGATCCACCGAGTGTATGTGCCAGCGATATGTAGGGTTGTAGTCCCCAAAGATCATAGTCCACCGACTGAATCCCTCAGGCGGTGTGTAGGGCTATGATCAGCTACGACCCACCGACTGAGCTCGTCAAGCGGTGTGTAGGGTCGCTGTCCCCAAAAGAGGATCAAGTCCATCGACTGAACGCGTCAGCGGTGTGTAGGGCTGTGGTCCGCCGTTGAATCTATTGACGGTCTATACAATTGGTTGCAGTCAATTCCTTCATGCTGCGGTATGAGGTAGGGTGCTGCGGGGCCGTGTTAGCGCTAACCCTCATGTTTGGGGCATGTGATTGGTCCCGTGGAGCCACCAAAGTGTGCTTGTGTGACAAGGATATTGATTGAATGATGATGTGAATGACATGAAAGTGAACTGTGACCTGTTTATATGATGTTGCCTCTATATAGTCAGTTATCATTGTTGAATGTGTTTATCCCTATCTGTCGAGTCTAATCCTAGTTTTTAAAGCTAGAGTCTCCTAAGTATATACCTTCCTGCTTCAAAATGGTTTTACTATAACTAT